CAAATTAAAAATTTGAGCAAAACCATCTCAATTGTACAAAAAATTATCAGACACCATGGTGATTATGTAATCATGATGAGCGCCGTCTTTACAATATGGCACTGTACTATACATCCAAATTAAATCCAATTAAATCTGAACATGATCTACTTTCACTTTCGTTTTCGTTATAATGTCTCATGTTTGGTCACTGCGGTCTTTTAGTTCCATCGCCACCCATTACATAACTTCCCAGTCCAAAAAATATTTAACAATTTAAGTCTTGGGAATTCCTTCATGGGCCTTTCTTAGCCAAAACTTCACATTCTCTGAGGCGAAACAACTCTGGACCATACTGTGTAGACGTGGGTACGGCATTGAACATGGCTGCCTAGAAAAATACAAAATTATTTTAAAAAATCACTTTCACCACTTTTTGTGCACAATGCTTACTTTTGATTTAAATGGCAAATGCATGGAACGCCACGCTGTCCGAGATACGTTCACATGTACATTCAAAAAAGTTTTAGTCAAGTAGACCGTGTTTAAGTAAAACTCCCAAAAATGTCTAATAGCATACCCTTGAGACGAGAAGTTCAATCAGCTGCCCCTGAGATCTGTGAGCTTTCTGTAGAAAATTCACCTCTTAAATTGCGACCTTCAACTCCTGGCGATGTACGACTTCTGTCTTCAGCCGCTGGAGGGCGCTGGGGTCAAAGAAGGTCCCCTCCCGAATAAAGGCACTGGAAATATAAAATCCCATAAATTATGTACGTATATTATATAAATAGATAATAAATTTGACGTGCTAAAAAGACCGTTTGTGGAATATTTCAAAGAAGTTTCTATTTAAATAGTAATGAATTTATCACCAAAAGCTGATGCCTTCATTTTAAGTAGAATTGAACTAAGTAAAATATACTAGTTGCAAGATATGAATGTACTGTTCTTTCCTTTACAATGAAAAAAAAAAGAAAGCACAGCCAAAGATTGAAATCAGGCTCGGATAACATTTAAAACTAGAAAGTATTACCAGTGCGTCAGTGTGATTTACCTGTATGTCGCAGATTCTTTGATCTCCCCCTCGTATATATACCAGCCGTGAGTATGAATCATTCTCTCCACGGTCTTTTCTCGAAGAAGTACCTGAGGGTCTCTGTAACGCCACAACTTTTCCAAGTAAACCTCGGCCTTCACCTTGGCGACATCGAGGCTCCAGAGACCGCGTGAGGCAGCTGGGGTATCGAAGTGCAGTTCCCATAGGAGGGATGTGAACAATGCCTGGACCTCGTGGGACCGAGTTCCTTTGGCTCGGTGAGAGTACACGGAGGCAGGGTTGCGCCCGCTTGTCAAGTACCAACTTTCATAGGACTCGTCAAACAGACGGTAGAGGTCAGCACAGTTGTTGCCATATTGGACGATAAGATCAAGATCTGGAAATTAGAAAAAAGAAAAAAAATTTAGGTTTGAAATCATCCATCAAAGTTGGCGATGTTTTGTTACTATCACAGACATCATGTTGAGCCGCACGGTATAAAACTTGGTCTATATCAGTTAAACTTCCAGTACAAAAAATAGTAAATAAATAAAATTATAAAAAACCGTTTCTCCTTCCCTCTTAAAAAATATCATAGACATCACACATGTATCTTAAAAGATTAGAATTGTTTATCAGGAAAACGAGTCTATTGTGGAAAAAATAACTGCACACAGAGAATTGCACTGTGCAACGCCCAAAAAGATACAGTGAACGTTTCACTTACCAAAGTCATCTGCGCAAATTGCGTCCCTGTTAGCCATAAAGAATGGGTGCGTATTAAATACATGGTCCAGGACGACCTCCATTGTAGGTTTGTGACGCAATGCCACAGAGAAACTATGGTCTGCGCGGAGCTCATCTTCGGCTGAAAGAAAAGGGGATAAGCAGAGTTGCATAAATGGACTTTATCAAAACCTATACTTCTGATTCTGATTTTTATATGACCGCCTTTATCTGCATTTAAGATAATCTCTTAGATAAGTCTATTGGCTGAGATAATAAGGAAAATTTTCAAAATATCACATATGAAATAAAAACTGTTAAGCTCTGTAAAGCTAGCGGCATGAAAGTTTTCCGGCTTGTGTTTGATAACCATATATGATCCAACTTCCAAGCTAATGAACCTTTTTGCCCTCATTCTATGATTTTAATTGATTTTTAGAAGCATATGTGCCCACTACAGTACATCGTATCATATATGTACATGTATGGTGTTTTAATTTCTATCTTCACTATTTTCTTCGTATAACCTCAACCTGTCGGACTCTTTGATTTTTATCAACTTAAAATGTTTCAATTCTTTAGTCATTTCTATCTTAAGTGGTGGGATAGGTGACAGGTTGAAATTCTACCGCTATATCCACTTACACCTAATCAAAGCGTCCCTAAGAGCACGGTAGACGGGAGAACTTGTGGCTCTGTGACATTCAAGATGTCTGGCCATCTTCCTCAGCACCTTTTCTTTGTTACAGGCGAGGTACAGGTCCTCTATCTCTTCGCGATCTAAGGGAAAAAAGTCATTTTTGCGTTGTCAGTTGTTTTCAACGTTGATATATATTCTTAAGCTTACCTCGATGCTCGTATCCAAACATAAATAAGCTTATGTCAAAATGATTTCTCTGTTTTAATGTTGACTTATCTAGTTTTTGTATAGATTTTAAAAAGCTGTAATTTGAAAGTAGATGTAACCATGAAATCCGTTGACAATACGGAGTTTTCGACAAACTTGTGGACACACCAAATTATTGGAAAACTACAGTATTAAGGAGTGAAAACATAATTTAAAATATCAGAGATTTACATACAGTGTGTATGATAGTGCTTACTTTCTATGAGACACTGTACATAGTAAGCAAAGAAATCATGAGCCACTACAGGGTCTTGGAACCGCTTGTTGTTCATGTCCACTATGGCGGACCACCTCATTCTCTTATCTTTCAGCTCTGAAAAGTAATCTGAAAATAACCAATAGAAATAACCATATTAATATAAAAGAAGTATTTTGAAATATTTTTTGACATCTTTGTTCAATATACTTACTTGGATAATATTGGCAATTTAGATTTATGTCATTCAATTAAAGATGTGTCAAATGCATAAATAAAAGCATTTGTATTTTCTGTATCATAAATTAATATTAAAATAGACAAAACTGGGTAAGATCATTTTCACTGGGGCCAGTGGTGCTTATATAAGAGATACTGAATGACGCCATAAGCAAAATCGCTATCAATTCAAGAGCCAAGTTTTTGACAATTACTGTATTAAATACAGAGATCTGATACATGTGTAAATTTGGGCTGCATTAAAAGCTGTGAGAGAGAAGGAGATAAATTTATACTCGCCACTGAGCTCTCGATAAGTCATGGCAAACACATTCGTCACTTCATCAGTCGAGAGAAGACGCTGTCTCTGCCAGAATGGCGACATCTTTTCGAACGCATACAGGCAGGTAATCATGTCCTTACTCTCCTTCAGGAAGTTCTGATACTCTCCGTCCATAATGAGTTCTCTTATACAACTCACTTTGTGGAGGAGGACGCACATCTCCTTAAAGGTGGCAGGAATCCAAGGCACACTGGCTATGTATTTGGCAAATGCTATACCATGCGTGCGCTGAATAACAAAAAAAGAACGTGTAAAATATTAATATTAGAAATAGGCACTGTCCGAACTCTGCATTTTATTTTCTAATACTGTATTATTTCATCTCTACGTTTGAAGTTGGTTGATTTTATAAGCGCCTTCTCCTAATTTTTGAGATTCCTTTTCACATTCACTAAATGGGGAAACTGCATGTTCGTAAAATGACAAAACTAAATTTTCCAAAATATACCTAGTGTTTTTACCGTTTCAAAAGATACTCTTCGGGCCTATGAACATAATGTGGATTTTGTTCTCATACGGATTTGCAGAATTTACCGGGAAAACGTAAAATGACAAATGTTTTTGCAAATAAAAGAAAAAAAATACCTGAATATTCTGCTCCCAAATATAAGGATCCTGGCCTAAATCTCGAAAACGCCTGCATGTTGAGGTAAAATGAAGCAGAGAAGGCGCATCCAGATTCCCGGCAATCTTCACTAATATTTCAGTTGGGATATCACAGATAATTCCGTTTCTGAAATAATTGTCCTCTTTGGAGATGTTCTTTTTCTTGCAGATCTGTGAATCAGTCTCAGAAAATAGTCCTCTCTTCTTGCTCGTGCGTTGTTGAAATGAAAGCTCAACGTCACTCATAACGATACTATAAAATACGGGAAATACTTTGAAATAATTGAGAAATAATATCTTGTGACAGCAAACGTAAAGACAGAAATTTTCTGTTTGGTTGCTACACTACGTTTCTGGGCGGTGAGTATTTTGACGTCATAAAAAACAGAAGTTTAATTGTGACGAAACAGTTTAACATTGTTGCGCAATGATTATCATGTTTGTTTTGCCATAATCATGAAGATCCTGGGCAATATTTTAATAATTTTAAAATGACTTGGCCTAACTTGCATATAATTATTTCAAAATTTAGATTAAACATCCTAGTGGCCAATCACAGGTACGGAACTTCATTAAAACATATTTTGTTAGTACTTTTTATCTTTTCGATTGATTTTCTAATAATTTTAAAATCATCCCCCATTCGCGAAATTTAAATCTATTAAAATTTAAGATTATCGTTCATATATGAATCCATAACTTCACGAACAAATAGGCCAAAACGACGGCTTTAATATATCATTGCCTACACCCATTAAACCTAAAAAAAAATTATTGTCTCTTTCATTGTCATTTTTATTGCTCGTGAGCTTTCTTTAATTTTAGCTCAGTGATTTTAGCTGTTATAAATTTGCGTCCAGGAAAACTGCTGCAGGCTGTGCTCAACGTCATTAGCTGGAGGGAATGTGTTAGGTGTGCTTGTCTTCTCACCCGGACATCTAACCCCTACCAATTGCGTCTCTCTGTTTTTAAACCTCCGTAAGCGAAAGAGTCACCACGCACGGACAGTGCTTGCTGCATGCTTTTAGAAACGCAAAATAATGGGGAGAAATAAACCTAATAAGTGGAGACGCGGAAAGCGGGATAGAGATCAGCAACAAACAAGACCCGTAAGTTTCCTCAATGAACTTACTTGTATTATTTTGACCACATTGTATGAATAGATTAGACATGCTTTTAATTTTAGACATGAAAACTTTTAAGACTAAAACAGACAAACGGGTGAGCTTTAATTTCGATTTGTACTAATATAAATTTCACATTTATACAAGATGTCAGAATGTTCTAGGACTCAACTAGAAATATACAAATCCTACAAGTATTAAGTGCACCTTTCTTTGTCAAACACCTTTTGGAGTGGCTCTGATTTTCCTCAATTATACTGGGGAGGGGAGGTAATTTTATGTTTAAACCTGCTTAGCAGATTATACATATTGCATACTGGTCTTAGTTTTCTTTATTTAATTCACAGGGTACTCGAGGGAACTATGAACTTCCACCAAAAGAGAATGCAGTGTTTGAGGAATATTACAAGGTTGGTCTTTTTTGACTTGTTTTACCCCACCTTCATCTCTCTCTCTCTCTCTCTCTCTCTCTCTCTCTCTCTCTCTCTCTCTCTCTCTCTCAGTCGATCTATCAATCAACCAAGCAACTTATTGTGGATACGCATTGTTAGAATTATGTAGAAGCTAGTCTGTAACCTTTTTATCTTTGAGCCCTGTGTAAATTATTCACTCAGAGGGTACGTATAATTTTGAAAAATAAAGCAACCTTAACGTACAAGTACATGGTTTATTTGATAAAATACATGATCAACTTATTGTATTCTACTTACCTCCAGGGCCAGGGTATAGTACCTGAGGGAGAGTGGGATCAGTTCATGAGCACACTGAGACAAGAATTACCAGTCACATTCAGGATCACAGGCTACAGGAGGTATATACACCAGTGTGGAAAACGGTAGAAAATTTTAGCCTGAAACTGGCTGCACACAATTAAGGACCTGGATGATGCTTTTGGAGAACAAAATGCATAACCATAAATTAGCATATCTTTTGTATATAATTAGCATACAATTAGCATATCTTGTTTATTGTCAATAACCAGACATCTCTTATATCTGTCTGTTTTTGTCTTTGTCCAGCTCCAATTTTGCATCAAGATAAATATTTGTCAATTTAATTGTTGATAGTGCAACTATTTTAATTTTCAAAGCTCCCTCCTGTAATTGTCTTACAATTTTCATTCCAGCCAAGCTAAACGCCTTCTAGATGTTATCAAAAGTGAATATTTCAGTAACCTAGTTAACATGGTTGGAGACTCTGTACAGCCACCAAAGTTACTGCCATGGCAAGTGATTCTCTCTCTCCTTTTCTCTCTCTCTCTCTCTCTCTTTTCTGACAGAAAAATGTGTATGGTACATTCAATAATTTAACTATGACAGTCTTAAAAATGTGGTTATTATATTTACTTAAATTTAAACCTAGATAAAATTCTTAATTTAAGAGTGAAATGTCAGATAATATATCAGTTACTGTAGGAAGACTATTAAGAAAAGATACAGAATGAAAATAAAATACTAATAGGATAACACGATGATCATGTGTAGTTCTAGCTCTTTTCAAATGAAGAGTTTTTCAGAACTTTGCTAAATTTTCAAGGGAGATAATCCATGTAAGATATGACAGTAATTGTAGTTTATTCTACCCTTTAGACACTGCATGGCAAATTCTGTTTCTGATGTCTCAGGTTTTGTTACAGGTATCCAGATAACCTAGCCTGGCAAATAAATGTCAGTAGAAAGGAAATCAGATCAACGCCATTGCTGAAGAAATTACACACTTTTCTTGTCTCTGAAACAGAAAGTGTAAGGTTACCTTGTTTGACATTTGATTTTAAATGGAAAATAGGCAGGGTTGGGGGAGAAAGAATAATGGACTTACCGCCCTTAATGCCCTCATAAATTTTTCTATGTGGAAACAATTTTAATGAACAGTTACTGAAATTCACATCAAAATATGATCTTTTATTTAGTTTCCCATACATTTCAGTCTCTTTTGTAATAGAGTTAGCATGATTGTTAAATTTCACTCGTAGAGGTAGAAAATGAAATTCTATGCCATTGTTTGTATTGGTTTGAACTTTAATTATTCTGTTTGAACACAGTGAGAGTAGTACAGCCAATGATTTGTGATATTTTCTCCATTCCAGGGTTATATCAGTAGACAAGAGGCAGTGAGCATGATCCCTCCAATACTGCTGGATGTGCAGCCCCATCACAAGGTAAGTGTGTTATAGTACACTAGCGGCATATGCTAGAATACCTCAAGCATCAGGGTATTCAAAACATCACAAGAGGGTCCCATGAAATCATTTGACATAAATATATGCAGTGAAAATACTCCCTTTTCACCGAAATCACCCCAAAACTCTGAAAAACAAGTTGAGTTTATATAAGCAAGTATCTTTTTGTGTGTACAATTTTAGTGACTAAACTAAAATGTTAGAAGTTAGTGAATTATTAGGGTAAAGAGTAGATAAATTGCTCCATACCCATACTACATGTCATCTTGCATTAACATTATTGTTATGTTCACAGGTTCTTGATCTATGTGCTGCTCCAGGGTCCAAGACAGCTCAGCTGATTGAATTACTCCATGCAGATGAGACTAAGGCTATCCCAGGTAACATCTGACACTTGTTCATGATTGGTATTTTTAATATGATATGATAGTTATATTTATCCACTCAACTTGAGTCAGGACCAATACAGTTATCTGAAGTAACATTTTTTTCTTATTTAATTGAACAAGGTTTGCCACAGCAAAGCTTGTTCAGTTCAAATAGTAACTGACAGAGATAACACTTAGTTCTGGAAACCAACCCGTAATATCAGGAAGCCTGTGGATGGTTTCCAGATACTGCAGTGGGACACTCCTAACATAGGCTTGTTCCAAGTTAGCTCTGAATCTCAGGTTGTTTACAAGTAAACAGGGAGGTGAATATGATGGCTGTGTATATTGTTTCAGAGGGGTTTGTTGTTGCTAATGATGTTGACAACAAGCGGTGCTATCTGATGGTTCACCAGGTGAAAAGACTTCAGAGTCCCTGCTTCATGATTGTCAACCATGATGCTACTACCATGCCAAATATTAGGATGTATCCACAGGTGAGAGAGAGGGAGAGAGAGAGAGAGAGAGAATTAAAATATTTGTTTTTAATCTAACATAGATAGAGGTTGAAGATTTTGGATTGTAGACAGTTGTATTTTTTATGGTAGTTGAAACATGATTTGAACTGACATCTGTTTATCCAAGTTTTCACATGATAACTATTGTTGTATTCATTTATATAGATAATACCAATATCAAAATTGCATAATAGATTTGAAATTCTTATTGTTTAAGGAGGATGAAGCAAATAAATTCAAGTTTGTGACGTATGACAGAGTTCTTGCAGATGTACCTTGCAGGTCAGTTTCCCCCTAGCATATTTTTCAAAAGTTTGGCAAAGTCCAGTTTATTGATTTTGATGGTTTCAACATTTGCTAAATGATAGCCATGATCTAGTGGTCTTTGTCTGCGTTTATAATCTGAAGGTGTGCAGTTAAATGTGGAAAAAATCAAACATATAATTTAGTAATTTTTAATAGTCATTTTCTAAAATCAGGAGAAACCCAATGTGTTCTAAGATAATAGCTTGCACGGATTATTTTGATTAATGTATCCAGATGATAGTGTATGTAAATACTTTTGTACATCATACAAAAAAAAAAACTTCGAAGATCCTGATGAAATGTTGTCCCTATATATAAATATTTCAGTGGAGATGGGACAATGAGGAAGAATCCAGATGTCTGGAGAAAATGGCTTCCACAGGCAGCAGTTGGATTGCACAGGTATGTCCACAGGCAGCCTCTTTTATATTGTATTTTCTTTAAAAAGATATTAAAAATGCAGTGAAATAGGAATTGTTCTGTATGGATGTTCTAATTATTTTGAATAAGAAGTTTAAAATAATTAGATTGTTTTACCTTTATAAACTTCATCATTGACAATAAGAAGAAAATATTTTACATTTTTTGGTACAAGTGAGACGTATAAAATTATGAATATTCTTTATGGTTAACACCTTTCAGAACATCTTAATTGACACCATGTTTTGTTTTGTTTCACATTGTGTGGTTCATTTGATTATACAGTGAAAAATGGGAGAAAAGAGAAAGAGACATAGTTGAAATAGAATAGTTTGAAAATATGATATTTATTTGTCTCTCAGTGTACAGATGAAGGTATTAAAGAGAGGACTGGAGTTGTTAAGTGTTGGTGGCCGCCTGGTTTACTCCACCTGTTCTCTCAACCCAGTGGAAGATGAAGCGGTCATCTCGGCCATGTTACAGAAATGTGAAGGTCAGTAGGACTTTAAAAATGAAATAGAGATGTTCATTATTTAACACTTAAGAGAATTTGTTTGTTTGTTGTTTGTTTGTTTGTTTTAATATAGATGATATAATGGATATCTAGTCTGAGCAACTATAATGTCATAAAGGCATTATTGATATATTTTAAGCATCAGGTTTAATTCTTGGAGTGAACCTACCAGGGATGGGCTTGAAAATATAATGAGGGTGGAGAACTGATGGAGAATTTAAGAAGTAATCAGTGTAACATGAAAAGAAATTATTGGTAGTTAGAGTAAAAGTTTGGTATTGGCAAGGATAACTTTTATACTCTTTTTTCTTAATTTTTGATTGATTTTTTTCATCATTCTGTTATTTATTTTGTATTGATCTCATTTATGTGTTAATATGTAGGTTCTGTGGAATTAGTGGATGCATCAGATAAGTTACCTGGCCTGAAAACCATGCCTGGGCTGAAATCTTGGAAGGTAAAATACTTTATCATTATTGACTCATATATATTATAACTGTTTTTAACACACTGTTTCACTTCACTCAGAATCTTAGTTTACTTTGGGTCATATTCACGGACTGTAGTGCCAGATTTATAATATACTATAATGAAAAGTGTAAAGTTGGTTTGAGAAAAAGAATACATTGGGGGAGTTAACAGAAGAGTTAAATCCAATCCATTGCTGTTAACAAATGCTTGCACATTGGTTGTCACTGAAGACCATACTGCAACATAACTCTGTTATCCTTCTTTTAATTCAAGAAGTAAATGTAACTATCATTCTAACAATCTGTCGCTCCATAAACATTTCATTTTTACACAACATTTATTTTTGTATTAATATGTTGTGTAAAGAATGTCCTTGTAAACCACATAGCATTCATTATTTACTTTATTCACAAAATTATTTATAAGTTCATTTATATAATGAGTATGCCTTTGACATTTACCTTGGTGCAACTTATTTATTCCCTCAGATCTTCCACAGAAAAGACAGCAGTTGGTTTAACAGTTTTGAGGAGGTAGAGGCAGCGGGACTCACTGGTTTGGCTGGAAGAACAATGTTTCCTCCTTCTCCTGAAATGGCAGAACAGTTGCATTTAGAGAGATGGTAAAAAAAACTTGGCTGTCCATTTTTTCATTTTATTCAAAGTGTCTGGATCACACTTGTAATTGTGCTACACACTTATCACGTTTGAATTTGCAAATGCATCAAAACTTTGTTTAGTTTTGTTTGTTTGTTTGTTTACCACCTCAGATAGGTGAGTACATACACATACATAAAACTATATAGTTTCTAAAACTATATTTTAAAAAGTGACAAGATTAAGATAATAATAAAACACTAAAATGCTTTCAATAAATTTACAAGGGCATGTTTATTTGGTTAGTCTAAGAGTAGTTGGCACTATTGATTAAAATCTTTATAGATACTACCAGGCCAAACGCACAGGGTTTTGGATAAAATTTTTTTTTTTTTTTTTCTCAAACATGCCACTTGATTGTATAATGTCTGACAGCGTTATGCAACAGAGTATTATTTATTTATTAACATAAATATAAACACTATTTATTTGTTTTCTAGTATGAGAGTATTACCACACCATCAGAACACAGGTGGCTTTTTCATTGCTGTCCTTGAAAAAAGAGACGTTCTTCCTTGGGTTAGAACTCCAATACCACCGTCTTCTACAGCAATAACAGTAAATGAATCTGAAATAGTGCAGAATGATTCAGTGTCAAAATCAGACACAAGCAATGGAGATGTGCCTGTGGATAGTTCTGCTGATTTACCACCAGAGGGTGCTGATGATGCTGACGTCAGGAAGAGGAAACAAAGGGATGATGATGATGATGAAAAGGAGGAAGGAATCTTGTAAGTTGTAATTTTTTAAAACTGAAATTGTTGTATCCTAATCATTCACAGATGAGGAAAAACTTAAAAATTATTCTCTTAAGAATGGTAACCATGGAATATATTTTGAACATAAGATTTAACTCTTATCATTCTTTACCAGTATGTTACATAGAAAACCAAATGAAACCCCTGCATTTCTTGTACTCCTTAAAAGTTATATTCATCAAATAAAAATTGGCCAATTTGTGCACTTCAGAAAGCCACCAGAACCCAATTCTGAACCTCATTCAAAGAAGGCAAAGATTAGTGGATACAAAGAAGATCCATATTTCTATTTCAATGAGGATGAACCAGACTGGGAAAAGATAAAGTAAGAAAATAATGTGCAAGTATTTTAAAATGAAGAACTATAGAGTTTAAGAAGGATATCAATAGTTTTTTTTTTTTAGTTTTTATTGTCAGATAACTTCCAATACATTCACCCACTGTTGAAGAGAAATAAGGAATTTGATTATAATATTTTTGTTTCACAGGAATTTTTATTCTGTGTCCAATGACTTCCCGTATACTCAGCTGTTGGTGAGATCAGAGACTGGTAAAAAGCGCAACATTTACTTCACATCAGATGCTGTCAAACGTATGGTGACCTACAATACTGACAAAATACGGGTGAGTACCTAATAATGATAAACTGAAGGGGGCAGCACATGAGTCCTTACCAAAGCAAAATTGGGTGACTTTGCCATGATCTTAAACAGTGCATGATTTTTTATCGTGAGTCTCATTAGCATGGTGAAAAAATTAAAACTGATATTTGTTAAATGTGGTTATTCTGTCAAAAATGAGAAATATTTTTACGTGTGGGTCTTCATTCCTGAATCTGTCTATGTAAACTTTCGGATTGGTCAAAATCTGGCATGAAGCCGAAATTCTCAAGACTCGTACAATAAATGACAAATCTTATTAATTCACAAATGATAATTAAAGACTGATGTTAAAAAAACAGTATAAAATTTAATTTAGTTAACATGTGCTAGGTGTTGTTTGACAGTTAATATTTACATTCTTTTTCTTTTAGTTTATCAACACTGGTATTAAGTTAATGGCCAGAAGTGAAAAAGAAGAGGTGGACTGTGATTTTAGATTGGCACAGGAGGTAAACTAAAATGTCTTTACATATTATGCACCATTGTCCACCAAATAACTCAATCTTATCATACACCTTGCTTCATTAGCAATTCCATCAGTTATGATTTTACTTAGTACAGATAAAAGGACATCTGAAAAAAATTCATTCATGTACACTACAATATATTGCTTTTTTTATAAAAAAAAAATGCAGGGATTTTTTTTGGTAGTTTTAGGTTGGTAACTCGACACACATTTTTTATTCATCCACACCAGTTTTTATTCTTTGCAAGGATGTTTTCCAATTAACTTTGGTCCAATGGTTGCAGAGAAATAATATAGAGTTGTAACTGAGAAAATGTAAAACATATTTTCAGGGTATCAACACAATATTTCCATACTTCACATCCAGAAGGGTGCACATCACAAAGGAGGATGTCCTAACACTTTTACTGCAAGAAAATCCTTTTATAGGAAAGATGTCGCTAGGAGCACAAGAAGAGCTTAAACCAATCTGTAAGTGTCTATTTAATGCATTGTATTTCTCCTGCTCTCAAAGAGAGAGAAATTAAGTCTTGTTAAATTGAGAGTAGAAATAAAAAGTTCACAATAAAGCATTACACGAAATATTTGACACACTTTAGCTCCCAACCATATGGTTTTGTCATAATAGGGCATAATGATTGCTTTTCACATATATTTGTTTTTCAGCACAAGGAAGCATCATATTTATTTTTGATCAAGAAGACAGGTATTTATTGAATTACATTCATTATAAACTTATTAATAATTATTTAATTTGGTTCTTACTTCCTAGGTCCAAATTTTTGTTATAAGTTGGTAGACCTTTGAAGGCATTCATGTTATGCATTTTAATTGTTCTGTATGTTGAAATTCAGCAATTTAGTAAGGGTTGAAAAATTATTTTGACTGAGTGACAAAGATCTGATATAATATGACTGGAGATAATTGTTTTTAGTCCCGATCCCATTTAAATGCAAGCTGGTTTAAACTTGTAAGACCAAAAGTAAGAGCTAGCATCAAATTTTTTAGCAGTAAACTGATGGATGCTTTACTTAAATTTTCACTGCAGATTTCTCCAATGAATTTGAAAAAGAGAGTATTTTGAATGCTATTTTATTATTATTATTACCTATCTATTCAGCCCAGATGATGACAACAAGTGTCGAGTCTTGTTCTGTGGATGGAAAGGAAAGAAAAGCTGTAGAACATTCGTGCCAAAACACGAGCGCCTTCATTATCTGCGCATGTGTGGGATAACGACAGATCCTAAACGTAAGTGTGTTGCTACTAGCTTTGTGAATATAAGTATTGAAATTGTTTTCCTTTTTGAGAAATAAAACTAAAAGAAAGTACTGGACATTAAAATATTTATAAATTAGGCTTTTAAAGTGGAATTAAAGGCTAATACTGTGTAGGGATAAAAACGACTTAATTTAATGGAGTAAGCATAATGGTACTAGACATTAAAATATTTATGAATTGGACTTTTAAGGTGGAATTTTAATTTTAAAAAATCTGATACTGTGTAGAGATAAAAGCTACTTAATTTAATGGGGTAAGCATAATGGCACCTTATGGTGTCTGCCAGCATTAGGCTCAGTGGTGAACTTACAGCTGGCTGATCATTGCCTGAATTGTTTGATTGTATCTTACTACTAGGGGGTCATTGGTAACTGAACCAAGGAAAGTATCCAGTTTGCTTTTGAACATTTCTAATTATTAGCTATGCAATTCAAGGTTGCTCTGCCAGTAGATGTGATAATACTATTAGGAAGAATAATTAGGAAGGGTGTGGTGAGCAAGTTTAAAAATCGAGCATTTTATTTCTGGTTCTAAGCATTTAGCTAAAATTTACAACTTGCAACACAGTTCTTATTCTAATTAAATAAGTGATTTAAAAAAAAGACATGCAGAGATGACATGTGTATGACCTTACAGTTGTCTTCGCTATTTAATTTTTCCTAAACAAACTTTGAAGGCTTGAGCCTGCACATTCTTTGTTGTTTCCTGCTGATTCAGAATTGCAAATCCAAGATTCACAATTGTCAACATTCCTATTTACAGCTGATTTATTAAACTTAGCAATAGTTTTTCTGATTAGTTGTACAGCTGTATCTTGTAGTCGAAGAACCAGTTTTCATGGCTGTTCTTTCAATATATGGTTTTTTATATTGGGATACATTGCCTTTTTTTTTTACCCCTGCCCCTTTCTTTTCCCCTAAAATTGCCTGTCAGTTTGGTATATCATTGCTGTAAAAAAGAAGGTGAAAAAGAATTGTGCAATTTCATCATTTTCTCAACAGATGTTTCTTCATATTTGGTTACATTAATTCATGCATGAATGCATGTCTTAAACAGATGATTAACATCTTTATCTCATCTCATTATTTTCCTTTTAACAAATTAAAAACACATTTAAACAGAATTAGAATTAAATTCTCGAATCTTTGATAATCACCTCATACTGGTATCTTATGCTTTCAGATAATATTAAATGAGAAGAAGAATTCTAGTATATTAAGTGACTGAGTCACCATCATCCTTTAAAAAATGCCCCAGTATTAGTAATTTTATCATGATACTTAAAAGATTTGTATGAGTTCTTGAACTAGAGTTCTTGGCATGATTTGAATCCTTAGAATTACTCTTTCCTTTTCTGAGTTTGTTGCCATCTTTCACATGCATGGTTTCCACAATGACTCCAGTTTTGTAGCGAATCATCAGCTCAGTTGTTGTCTGCTGAGACTTTATGAAAGGAATTGAGAAGAATTTCTGGTTGCATTTGTCCCCATTGCAACCCTGTTGGCAGTGAAATCCTGCCTCCAGACTTGGCTTGCAGGCTGTCTTGTGTGGTTTTCCCTGGTGGCAGTCTTTGACAACAGACCCAGTGTAAAAATGCTGTTCTTTCCCTGTATACGCTGCAAGAGTATTATTAAAATGGTTTTGTTATTTATTGATTGGTTCTTGTAAATTTGGCATGAAGTACAGAAGACTTGTGCAATAGTTACGAATTCAAAGCAATTGCAACATTCACTGCAGATACCTGTCTGTATTGAATACTGCCTTATGAATTTCTGTGGTACATTAGTGAATATAATTTGTGCTATATTTTATTCATCAGAAATGACTGGCAATAACATAGCCCTGGGATTTGTTTTCTTTGATGTGTTAAAAGATGATTGATGATGAACAGGATCGGGTCCAGAGAGTGAACAGTTGCAAGGAAAAGAACATAATGTGATAGTGTTACTGTTAATTTGGAGCCATTATAACATAACTCCCCCATAAAATATTTATAAATAAAATGTTTTTTTTTTTTTTAATAAAATAAGTTTTGGTCATAAGAGTGAATATTTATTAGATAATTAAAAACAATAGTAATTGAGTATCTAAGTGGTAACAGACAGGTGGGACAAAATATAGTATTAATCTTTCATATGGATGTGAAAAGAGTGGGTGCCGTGGAGTATTTTTCATAATATATGAATTCAAATATTTAATGTAATAATTTGACCCACCTGTGGCATAAGTGGCCTGTATCTGCAAGCTGGCATAACAGGAGTGGGCGTCATCGGGACACTTCACAAAGCCATCAGAATTTCTGTCGATATTTGTGCACACAAGGTTATCAATGGCATCCCGAAGACTGGAGTGACGGAGATCGGTGAATCCAGCACATTGTTGACAGATGAGTCCAAATGCTGAAAATATATTAGACAACAAACAGTTACATTGTTTTTTTTTTTTTTTAATTTTAATTTTTGGAAGGCCCATTCCTGCTTAGGTCATCACATTCTTGTTAATCCTAGAAATGCCAATTGGTGTTTATTGCAAATTTACTGGGAGATTTTAATTGCCAAAAGTGCAACTCTTTATATTTATTATTATATTATACATTAAAATGTTTTAAAATTACAGAAATTATACTTTTTTAAAATTATTTTGCAATATTTGTGCATCCTTTGCCCCATTATTGCCAGGATATATTTTTGTTTTTAATTATGTAAAATTTGCTTGGTCTTCATCGGTAAAAGTGGAATTTACTAGGTAAGACATTCATCAGAATTGTACTACATAAGTTTGTTGTTTTTTTTTTGTTTTTGTTTTTTTTTTAGTATTTGATTAGAACTATAAGACTCTAAGGCAATCAGACAGACAGGATATTTGACACGTAAGGAAAGGACTATGAAAACGGGGGGGGGGGGGGGTATTTTTGTCAAAATTGGCCTGTCTGACTTTTTTCTGTAAGTTTTCAAATTTAGCAGTGCTTTAGGCTTTCTAACAAACACTTTCTTATTTCTTTATAGAAAGTTCTCTTTGCACAGTTAACAGGTTATGTTAAAAAAATAAGCTTGGAAGTATTTTGAAATCTATCACGTATTTTGTTGGATCTGTACACGTAGATAGCTCTGTATCTGTATATGATCATGGCTGTGGCTAGGTTGAGACAGACAATTTTTGCATCAAAATAGTCTTTGTAGCAGTTTTTTTTTTTAACATTTATTTAAGAATAATAAAAAAAAAGAAATGAATTGAAAATTTTTACCTTGAAATACATCATCGGAAACTAATTTCTAGAAGCTTTAATTAAAAGGGATTAAAGTCATGCTGCTGCACAAAACGTAAACAGACTGAGTAAAACCTGTTCCTTTCTCTTTTATTCCAAAATACAAGTTTCATGAGGCTAATTCACAAGCTAATTGGTTATAATCAGATATAATTTCTGAACAGCATTGTTCGTCCTGGGAACTCGCCTTCCTGTGAAAACTGGTTAAACGTGAGGCTCATAATTGGTGGTGTGTGTTGGCAATGAGCACCTCTCCCTTTGGAATCAATATTAATAGAAATCTGGATATTTTGGTAACTTATTGAAGATAACACTATTTGTGATTTGACTTCAGCAAGCAGGTGGTGATTTTCACACCAAGGTTTGTGGCAGTTAAGTACTGATATATATATATATATATATATATATATATATATATATATATATATATATATATATCTGATACGTCATGATTTTTTTCATTTATGCCTAAAGGTAAACTACTAGCATTTTAAAATGCCTGAAAGTTATATTTTCTGTGTCCACATATCTTGCAACACTTTTCATCTTTCCTACTGCTGAACTTAAAAATAATTAAACACTCTCAAAGTTAAAAAAATTAAGTACATGATGTCAATATTTCCTTCTCAAATGTACAGGTAGACATAGCGGTTTAAATGACTGGGCTAACATTTAAAACTAAGCCATTTATATGGCAATGTCATAAAACAGAATCCAAGTGCAGGGACAAGTTCATCAATGATATGTTAGTAGGAGAAATTTGCATATTTTTATGGAAAATTCGATTTGGCTGGAAAGAAATTGGAAAGGGGAACTTTAATTTTTTAATGCTTGATTTAAAACACAATGGTCAATGTTTAAACATTTGTATGAAGATTTCCAGATCTCTCAAGTATAAACACATGAATTTTTGAGTGTGTGTGTGTGTCTGTGTCTGTGTTTATGCATATCTCTATGTGTGATCACTGTAAACAGTTGTTACATTGTACATGTATTTCCAATCTTGGTCCTGTTTGATATCTTATTTAACCTGAACCTTTTTTTATCAACAATCATGTTTACAGTGCACTGTATAGCACAGAAGCTGTAATTGTATTTTAAGATTGCATGACTCAAGGTATCACGATAGCCTTAATCTCATTCATTTAAGTAACAACTCCAGGGAATGGTAAACACCACAGACTGGCTGTACATGAAACCAAGATTGGCTTTCACCAGGTCTTGATTTAATTTATCAAACATAACGACCAAATAGCATGCTGATGCGGTGCATGTTAAGTGTCTGTGTGGCCCCATATGATTACTGGGCGAAATGCAGTTCAATTAGAAATAGTGTAGGGTCATTCCATAAAATATTCAGCAAACCTGGGAATGGAAAACAGGCATTTTGATAGTCACCATTTGGGCCTGCAGCCATTAATGGCAAAAAAAGAATTCTTTTTCGGAAAAAGTGGATCTTTTTTCCCCTCTCAATCAACCCAGTTTCTTGAGTGGCATAGTACCTAGATCAAATTTTGATTCAGAGTAGACTTTTCATGGCTTTAAATTGAAAATTGACTATATCTTGTGTGCTAAAAGTGATAATGAGTATTGTCATAAAATGGTCATAACATGTTTTGGTATTGATTTTTTGAAATTCTCAGTAATTGAACATAAGTAATAAATGATGTATTGAGCTAAAAATATGTGTGTGTGTGTGTGTGTGTGTGTGTGTGTGTGTGTGTGTGTGAGTATATACTGTATATATATATATATATATATATATATATATATATATATATATATATATATATAACTGGAAACATCAGCATTGTCTTGAGCTTCCCAAATCCATAGATTGTTCAGTGAATTACTGCATCAGAGCATGATCAAAATAAGTAGCATTCCCCAAAACTTGACAGAAATACAAAATTTATTGTCTTCTTCTGTCTCTTTCTTTAAAATTATCACCTATTGAGTCAGTAATTGCAAGTGTATTTTGTAGAATCATATTGCAAATAAATTGAAGAACCTCCTTATTTTGCCAGAGAATGAGATATACCATCTGAATATACACAAGTTATTTTACGGAATTGAATTTAAATTGAAGTAGATATTCTTAGGATACAAGCTGGTAAATGTACCCAAGCAAACTGTACTTGTACAATAATGTGGAGCCCTTATAACTCTCTTCATCTGAACTGCAGCCATTTTTAAGTGCATTTTGCAGAAAGCAATCGCTTTGAGTATTCTTCAGTCTCTGGAGAGGTTGATAATGCAAAGCCTGCATTATCCATCTAAGTGCTATCCACCTTGTTTTTTAAACGTAATAACCTAATTGGAGGCGAATTCAATCCTTTAGGGAGGAGGAACCAAGGGATCCTGGGACAAAGACACCGCAATTAGATCAATAATGTGATTTTTTTGCCTGGAGAAACAATTTTCAGAGTGGCAAGTTGAGTGCAGTGAGTGGGTATTTGGGTGTGCATGATTGCATTGGCATTGAGAGTATATACTTCGTCCCTGCAGGTATGCACTGTTGCTTTGCACAGCACATGCATATGTGACTCATTCTGACTGTGTGTCTTTTGCTAAGAGAATTTAGAGGATATTACATGATCTACTTCAGACATTATATTGCCCAAAAATGATAAGTGCATTACTGTAATAAAACCAATGCTTTATACCATTCGAGATTAGTTTTGAATAGGTAAGACATTTGTGCTAAAGGCATGTAATGAGTTTAGAAAATTACTGTCCATAAAACTGTTCTTTTTTATTCAGTTCCAAAATTTAGTTTCTTATAATATGATAACAGTCTCCTTCTCCATATGAGAGTGACTCAAAAGTTAGAAATTTTAACTCTAAAATGCAATTATTCTCCATAAAGCTGTTAACAGTTTTGTATACTTTAGGATATAATCTGTTGTTTTATGGATAATTGTGGAAATTTCCATTTTCTTTTTCAAAATTAAGGTCTTACACTCATGTTCCTTTAAAATGACAAAAGAACAGGTATTATCTAAAAGAGATCATATGTATTGAAGTCCCTTTTCTGAAACACATCAATTCAATTTAGTATTCGGCTCAAGCTCATATATCAACTTACCGGAATTAAGAGACATAATCATCAGAACTGTGATGCTTTTCCAGCAAGACAAGTGTGGAGGCTGTGGGATCTGTTCAACTGCTGCCATAGTGTCTATAATGTTTATTACTTATCGAGTTTTTTGAGATTTTCACTTTTTGTCATAATCTCAATTATTAATTTATTGATTTTCACTTTTTTGTTACCGCCTGTCAGGATAGATTATATCTGACATTTTGAAGAAGAGATCACGTCTTTGAATGGAGAATCCTTGTATTTGGCTTTTTCCTGATGAAAGAATGTTATCTTCTACTTCACTTCCAGGTGACTTTTTGTTGCCTCAGAATGTCATTTATTGCTGCACTGTATCCTACTTACTGAGTGCTTTATGCAAAGTTTCACACAAAAAAGGTATTTTTTATAATATAAACAGCTGCTTTTCTGAAATTTTCATCCAGTTAAGTGTTGTTGTACCCCAAATATATTGAATATATTGTACTGAAAAGTACTTGTAGTGTTTTTCAACTCATTCAAAATGCCGGGACCTGCGACATACATGTGATTGTAGTGAATTTACCAGCTCTTGTCAATTGAAGCAGGACATTTCTTTGTGACATTGCATATATTCCATGTTTAATAATTAAATATAGTGTCTTTTCAATCTCTTTTTTATATGTAGTTCACTAGTCACTTTAGCTATTAAGTATTTCTGGGAATCTTAAACTTTCCTGCTATCATTTATCCTTTCTCATATAAAATACAGTGTTTCCATACACCATCTAGCAGAAGTAACACCCTGAATTTCAACTCCTTGTTGTTTTTCTGAAAAATTTGATCTTGGCTATCGTAGATTTTTCCCCAATAAAATGTCCAAGTGTCCATTAAGTTCAATTGCTGGATTACTGTAGGTTACATCTGCATTCACTAGAAGACCAGTCCATAACAAATTATCACTGATTTTCTTTTTTTTCTTTCAATGAAAACCTCCAACAAACTTCAACAGTAAGTCATCTGCATAAGTAGAATACCACAAAAAGAAGCATCAAGACATTTTGTCGCTGCATTTCCAATAGTGCCTTGCTGAGGAGTGACTGTGCAGGCACGTGTACTCGCTACAAGGACCGCCAGTCCACTGACAGCTGGCTCCCCATAGGCTAGTCCCTCTGAAAACACATTATGATCCATTATATCAAACTGTGTTAATACATGAAAGTATTGATCCTTTAACTGGAAGGGATGTGCTCTATATTGAGTGTTTCTTTCCCACTCGGAAAACAATGAACAATGCTTTTATAAATCCCTTTAACTATTTATTTATTGCATGAAGTGTGATTCAGATAAGCCCCATAAGCCATGATCATTATAAATCAATCATATTACTTTTTTTCCCTTTTTTATCTAATGAAAGGTCCTGCTGGAAGTCTGCTGCTGTACTTGTCTAGTATGTTTGTTAGAGCATTTGCTGAAGGTTTTGATTGGAAGATTTATTCAAGGTTGTCTGCCATGATATATGATAGCATTAACAAATGCTTGTTCTATGAAAAGTGATGACTAATTTTATAATGGTTCATCTCTATCTGTTGTTGTTGATACTATCCATTATCAAATTGTCAGTAGATTTAAGTAGGCGAGCTGCTTAGAACCTGCAGTGATGGCAATTTCAACTTTCCTTCTATTTTAATCTGTCTGTATGTAGCTGTTCCTCAATATTCAGCACTCTTCTACAATAACAGCAATAGCATTGGTCAGTCACCAAATGCCAGTAAAATTGAGGATGGGTTATTATTTTTTTTTAATTTGTTTTTTAACTTGTTTTCAAAATGGTGATTTGCCAGTAATACCCGAGCAAGATAATTCTGAATAGTGACTTTGTCTTATATCAGCTCACATCTTTAATTTGAGAGTAACTGAAAAAAAGAAATGAACCTAAAAAAGTATATTGGCATTAGTGAGGCTTGGTAAAATTTTTGATGAGTGACGGCCTATTAAAGTATGCTATTAAAGTATTGCATTTTTGTTTCTGACTCATCGTGACAGGAAGACATGTTTTACATTAATTATATTTTGAAATGATGTGTTCAGGAAAAAAATGGTTCTCTAGAGTATAAAATCATTGGATTCTTTTGTGAGTTTTTCTTTCAGTTTTACTCCTGGGATCTAAATCCCATCACCAAATCACTGCAAAAAATTACTGTGTATTCAACAGATAACTAAGTAGTCTCTCTTGTGAAATGATCTCATTGTATATATGGCTTAAGAGGGATAATGTAAATGTTATCTCATAGTGAACGGCATTTCATAGGTAAAACAATGAAATCAATGTTTAATTTCCTTTATCACATTTTCTGTGTACTGAAAGATGAATTATTACAAAAAAAGGTATAAATTGATCATTTTTTTAACCAAGTCTCTAATGGATTTATTTTTCTGGCAGTATTTTAATATCATCATCACATCATTTTCCAACACAGAATTATTGTAGAAAGTCATGGTATTGGATTTCTTGCCATTTTAGTGAGATGTTGTACTGTAGACAAACATTTATCAACAATATTTGCTGCGGTATATTCTATCCCACCCTGATTGTCACAGAGCTGACAGTGGATCTCCTTTAATTTACTCATCTGTTATTATCACTGTCAGGGTACTTTCCTATACCCAACTTTTACTATTTTATACCCTGAGTTTCAGAGAATTTACAGTGATTCTCTAGTGGGCATACACTCCTCTCTGTTTCAAGGACACATGGGATATTGGCAGAGATTTACCTCTACCCGGTGTACACAATTTGTCACCCTGAGGTTCTCTGTACTGGCAGAGGATTTCTTCTACCCAGCTTACACCCTTTAATTTGTCACCCTGAGGGTCTCTGTACTGATGGAGGATTTCTTCTATACCCAGCTTATACATGTACCATTTAATTTTGTTGCCCTGCATTTCACAGTAATGACAGAGGCTTTCCTCCACCTAGCTGCCTGTGCTGTTTGCCAATCTGAGAGCCAGGATGCCATATCTCCTCTACCCCACATGCCATTCTAAAGATTAAGTTTTAGATCGACCTAACTCCCTGGGGGTTCACGCTAAATTGCAGTCAACCGAGCGGGCACCATAGTTAATTACCCCTTACAGCTTTTAGTAGGCGGGACAGACGCTTAAGCCGGCCAAGCTGACAGTAATCTAGTGAGACTCCCCACAGGGATAGATTGATCTAAAAATCTATGGAAATGGGGTATTAGTCTCTAGAATTCAGGGTTACTCAAACTACTCTGAGTAAGCCATATAGAAAAAGTGATGGTTTCAGTGTACCAAATTGAATATAACTCTCAGTGGGTGAATTTTCATGACTGTCAGTAAATTATTTGATTATTAATCTGGCACAAATGTAAGATTTTGATGGGGTTAATGTTCTTGCTTGTATGATATCTGTTTAAATATGAATTTGGTTGTTTATTTACAATATATTCAAGATTTTATTGGAAACAGACACGTAAGTATGTCTGTACCAAATTTGACTGTGGTATTGGACTTGGCAATAAGATTTTGCAACATTTTGTTGTAAACAGACAAATTGATAAGTAAATAAAAATACTTATATCTAAACAAATATTTAGAGTTATATATGAAATATGCATTTAGAAGAGGAAGGGCTGAAAAGAGAACATTCAGGATCTTCGAATTTGGGTTAGTTGTGAAGTTGCATATATATTGAGTCCATGATGACGATCAATGAAAATGGAAATATTTGTGCAATCAGCAAGCAGAAAATTGTACATTTACTTACTAATGCTCAATAAATAGTACTGCCAGATATCTCCAGATGAACACGGACAATAATTGTGTGATTATGACGCAAAAGGGATGTTATTTTAATAGTTAGCCACCGAGCAGTGTATTCATGTATGTCTATAAACAGCAATTCATTTATACTTACATACAATAGAAATATGTCATAGTACGCTAAGTTACTTATTTGTACGTCATGGCCATTGATTTCTGTTACATGAGAATCAGGCACTGCAGAACTGAGCATTGATTGGTTCGGTATCTCGTTATCGTTTTTCGACTCAGTAGTATTTGTCACAAAGGAAGTTTGGGCTGCCCGTGAGACCCCTTTGTTACAGTCTGAGAATTTTGTCAGATTGATATTAGATTTGAAAATGTGATTGTTTTTTGTTTTTTTTTTCTTTTTCAACCAGATCCCATATATCATATAAATTCATTAACTGTGGGATATATAAATGCATACCTGTACCATCTTATCATACTGTGTGTATGATAGCCCTTTCTAACCATCAGAAGAAATTATAGTCAAACTAGAATTGTAGAATTTCCAAGGTGCCTCATCACAACTTGACTTGCAAGGCGACCTTTGTGTTTAATTGAATGGGATGCTGCCCCATTGATTCCCAGGAGACACTGAGATTCAGTTCAAAATCTCATTGCTTCATTTATGGGAAATGTCAGTGACTCTCTTTACTTAATTGAAGTTGAATTAAGGGTATTGATCTCTTGGATGGGGTGGGGGGGGGGTGGTTAGAGAAGAAGAAAATTAGATATATTGATTACAAAACTGGTTGTAAGATGTTTTTTGCAATCATCTTTTTCCCCTCTAGGTTCAGAATGATTATTGATTCTGCAAGTATATTGTACCTCTCTTTGTTACAAGTTGAACTTGAACAATAATGGATTTAGTAGGCAGAAAAAGATGATATTTTACATTACATTTTTATAATGTTTGGAACTAATTCACCAATAACTCTGGCTGGCGTAAGGGTTCAAGAAGAGTTTGTTTTTTTTTACCCAAACGGAAGCGAAGTCACCTTACTTAGATGAAACTCTAGTTGGGTCTCCCCTGCATGTACCCTTTAGGTATTTGGCAGGGGCCGAACCAGCATTTTTTGGATGAGAAGATGGGATGGGTGCACCATGACCCCTGAGGTCTGTCTCCACCCCCACCCACCCCCTTTCTATCACAGTAGATTTTCATGTAATTTTGACACATATTTCAGTTGTATTTTTGTTGCCTCAGTCTTCATTGATTTTAGTATTATTATTATTATTATTATTATTATTATTATTATTATTATTATTACTTGATAAACTGCATACCAAGTATTTTGCTGTTCAGCATATGATGAAGTTGAACTGTTGTATTTTGCCTACAAGTTTGGTTCTGTCTTTTATTAAAGGTTAAAGGAATACAGAATAACTGGGCATGGCGAGTTTATATTTACATCCATCTCAAACAATTATCTTCTAATTACAGAGATCAGAAGAGAGGAAGAAGGTAAAATGGGAGAAGAGGATCCATCGGCTGGGGAGATGGAGAGCTCTGAAGATAAACAAACTGAGGAAAGGGAAGCCATAACAGAGGGTTCTACCTCAGCAACTGATACAAACGTTGAGGAAGAAATGAAGGAGGGAGGAGAGGAGGGATGAAATATTTCTGAGAGAGCAAAGGAATGATTGGATTGGGATGGAAAGGGGTTGATATCAAGTAAAGTTAAATGAAAGAAAAGACAGATTTTGATTTATTGAGATGTGATGTGCCTCACCCCTCCTTGGCAGTAGCTAGAGGAGGAACATGTGCTTTACCATCCAGAGGGGATGAACTGGAAGAGCCGTATGCTCTGTGGAAAAGCTGTTTTTGTGGATGTGCTGAAAGAGATATTATATTTGTATATATTTTACATAATTATAATTGTCTTACTGGGCTTACAAAATTGTGTTCTTTTCTATTAAAGATTTATTATAGAGATCAGTAATGAAGAATGACTCAATAAACTTCAGCTGGATAAAATCCGGTGTCTCAAAGTGCTAATATTGGAAATTTTTGGAGTGAACATGACTCTTCCTTTGCAAAGGTCAACTTAAAATTGCATCTAAATTTATTAAAACATCATTTTGTCAATGAATAACTGCATTCCTGAATAAAGACTATGTTGCCAACTTTCTCTTGCTTAATAGGCCTAGTGTTATTTCATGTTTTAATTCCTTCTTATTTGAGTAACCCCACGACAGGCAGATATGCCATCCTTGTAGAGGCTCGACAGATGAAAATTGAAAAAAAAAAGAGTATATCTATTCACCCACTTCTTGAACGGCAGAGTTAGAAAAAGTGTTACTGTTGAGATGAAGCGCAATTCTTTCCGATTGCTACAGGTGAGACAGCATCAAATGTGACAGTTGATTGAAATGCAACCAGTCACATTTGTGACGTGTTACTGAGCATAAAGTACACAGCCCTCCGTCATTATTTCATGCGCGCGCACAAACACACACACACACACACACAGTTGAACCCCTACCCATATGTTTTAATATATAATATTGAAAAATCTAGGAAAATCTACGTAATTTGTATTATTTTGCTGCTATGTCTGAAGAAACGTTTTCTCCAAAAGACCCTTCAAGGTAACGTTGACACAGGTTTCCTTTGATGTGAGAGAGGCCGTTATAGGAATGGCGTCTTGGAAGTGTCAATCTAACAAAAAGAATTCAGCAAGTCGATTTTTTATTTAAAAAAACGGGTAAGCTATAAAACTGACAAATGAAATACTTTAAATTGGGCCTAAAGAATCAATTGTTACAAGTTATCAAAATACACTTAGCTTAAAGGATTTGCGTCTTGCCGTCAGAATGGCCTNTAATGCTTTTATAAATCCCTTTAACTATTTATTTATTGCATGAAGTATGATTCAGATAAGCCCCATAAGCCATGATCATTATAAATCAATCATATTACTTTTTTCCCTTTTTTCATCTATTGAAAGGTCCTGCTGGAAGTCTGCTGCTGTACTTGTCTAGTATGTTTGTTAGAGCATTTGCTGAAGGTTTTGATTGAAAGATTTGTTCAAAGTTGTCTGCCATGATATATGATAGCATTAACAAATGCTTGTTCTATGGAAAGTGATGACTAATAATATAATAGTTCATCTCTATCTGTTGTTGTTCATACCATCCATTATCAAATTGTCAGTAGATTAAAGCAGGCAAGCTGCTTAGGACCTGCAGTGATGGCAATTTCAACTTTCCTTCTATTTTAATCTGTCTATATGTAGCTGTTCCTCAATATTCAGCACTCTTTTACTATAACAGCTATAGCATTGGTCAGTCACCAAATGCCAGTAAAATTGAGGATGGGTATTTTTTTTTTTTTTTTTTAACTTGTTTTCAAAATGGTGATTTGCCAGTAATACCTGAACAAGATAATTCTGAATAGTGACTTCGTCTTATATCAGCTTACATCTTTAATTTGAGAGTAACTGAAAAAAGATATGAACCTAAAAAAGAATATGGGCATTAGTGAGGCTTGGTAAAATTTTTGATGAGTGACGGCCTATTAAAGTATGCTATTAAAGTATTGCATTTATTTTTGTTTCTGACTCATCGTGACAGGAAGACATGTTTTACATTAATTATATTTTGAAATGATGTGTTCAGGAAAAAAATGGTTCTCTAGAGTATAAAATCATTGGATTCTTTTGTGAGTTTTTCTTTCAGTTTTACTCCTGGGATCTAAATCCCATCACCAAATCACTGCAAAAAATTAATGTGTATTCAACAGATAACTAAGTAGTCTCTCTTGTGAAATGATCTCATTGTATATATGGCTTAAGAGGGATAATGTAAATGTTATCTCATAGTGAACAGCATTTCATAGGTAAAACAATGAAATCAATGTTTAATTTCCTTTATCACAACATTTTCTGTGTACTGAAAGATGAAATATTACAAAAAAAAGGTATAAATTGATCATTTTTTAAGCAAGTCTCTAATGGATTTATTTTTCTGGCAGTATTTTAATATCATCATCACATCATTTTCCAACACAGAATTATTGTAGAAAGTCATGGTATTGGATTTCTTGCCATTTCAGTGAGATGTTGTACTGTAGACAAACATTTATCAACAATATTTGCTGTGGTATATTCTATCCCACCCTGATTGTCACAGAGCTGACAGTGGATCTCCTTTAATTTACTCATCTGTTATTATCACTGTCAGGGTACTTTCCTATACCCAACTTTTACTATTTTATACCCTGAGTTTCAGAGAATTTACAGTGATTCTCTAGTGGGCATACACTCCTCTCTGTTTCAAGGACACATGGGATATTGGCAGAGACTTACCTCTACCCGGTGTACACAATTTGTCACCCTGAGGTTCTCTGTACTGGCAGAGTATTTCTTCTACCGAGCTTACACCCTTTAATTTTGTCACCCTGAGGGTCTCTGTACTAGCAGAGGATTTCTTCTACCCAGCTTACACCCTTTAATTTGTCACCCTGAGGGTCTCTGTACTGATGGAGGATTTCTTCTATACCCAGCTTATACATGTACCATTTAATTTTGTTGCCCTGCATTTCACAGTAATGACAGAGGCTTTCCTCCACCTAGCTGCCTGTGCTGTTTGCCAATCTGAGAGCCAGGATGCCATCTCTCCTCTACCCCACATGCCATTTGTTAGTGTGGATAGTGAAAATGAGTTTGGAATTAGTTTCTAGAATTCAGGGTTACTCAAACTACTCTCAGTAAGCCATATAGAAAAAGTGATGGTTTCAGTGTGCCATATTGAATATAACTCTCAGTGGGTGAATTTTCATGACAGTCAGTAAATTATTTGATTATTAATCTGGCACAAATGTAAGATTTTGATGGGGTTAATGTTCTTGCATGTATGATATCTGTTTAAATATGAATTTGATTGTTTATTTACAATATATTCAAGATTTTATTGGAAACAGACACGTGAGTATGTCTGTACCAAATTTGACTGTGGTATTGGACTTGGCAATAAGATTTTGCAACATTTTGTTGTAAACAGACAAATTGATAAGTAAATAAAAATACTTATATCTAAACAAATATTTAGTTTATATGAAATATGCATTTAGAAGGGGAAGGGCTGAAAAGAGAACATTTAGGATCTTCGAATTTGGGTAAGTTGTGAAGTTGCATATATATTGAGTCCATGATTGGATTTTCCTAGCTAATTACGACGATCAATGAAAATGGAAATATTTGTGCAATCAGCAAGCAGAAAATTGTACACTTACTTACTAATGCTCAATAAATAGTACTGCTAGATATCTCCAGATGAACACAGACAATAATTGTGTGATTATGACGCAAAAGGGATGTTATTTTAATAGTTAGCCACCGAGCAGTGTATTCATGTATGTCTATAAACAGCAATTCATTTATACTTACATACAATAGAAATATGTCATAGTACGCTAAGTTACTTATTTGTACGTCATGGCCATTGATTTCTGTTACATGAGAATCAGGCACTGCACAACTGAGCATTGATTGGTTCAGTATCTCGTTATCGTTTTTCCACTCAGTAGTATTTGTCACAAAGGAAGTTTGGGCTGCCCGTGAGACCCCTTTGTTACAGTCTGAGAATTTTGTCAGACTGATATTAGATTTGAAAATATGATTGCTTTTTTTTTTCTTTTTCAACCAGATCCCATATATCATATAAATTCATTAACTGTGGGATATATAAATGCATACCTGTACCATCTTATCATACTGTGTACATGATAGCCATTTCTAACCATCAGAAGAAATTATAGTCAAACTGTTTGTAGAATTTCCAAGGTGCCTCATCACAACTTGACTTGCAAGGCGACCTTTGTGTTGAATTGAATGGGATGCTGCCCCATTGATTCCCAGGAGACACTGAGATTCAGTTCAAAATCTCATTGCTTCATTTGCGTGAAATGTCAGTGACTCTCTGTACTTAATTGAAGTTGAATTAAGGGTATTGATCTCTTGGATGGGGTGGGGGGGGGGGGGGTAGAGAAGAAGAAAATTAGATATATTGATTACAAAACTGGTTGTAGGATGTTTTTTTTGCAATCATCTTTTCCCCCTCTAGATTCAGAATGATTATTGATTCTGCAAGTATATTGTACCTCTCTTTGTTACAAGTTGAACTTAAACAATAATGGATTTAGTAGGCAAAAAAAGATGATATTTTACATTACATTTTTGTAATGTTTGGAACAAATGCACCAGTAACTCTGGCTGGCATAAGGGTTTAAGGAGTTTTTTTTTTTTTTTTTTTTTTTTTTTTTTTTTTTTTTTTTTACCCAAACGGAAGGGAAGTCACCTTACTTAACTCTGTTTTGGTCTCCCCTGCATGTACCCTTTAGGTATTTGGCAGGGGCCGAACCAGCATTTTTTAGATGACAAGATGGGATGGGTGCACCATGACCCCTGAGGTCTGTCTCCACCCCCACCCACCCCCTTTCTATCACAGTAGATTTTCATGTAATTTTGACACATATTTCAATTGTATTCTTGTTGCCTCAGTCTTCATTGATTTTCTTTTATTATTATTATTATTATTATTATTATTATTATTACTTGATAAACTGCATACCAAGTATTTTGCTGTTCAGCATATGATGAAGTTGAACTGTTGTATTTTGCCTACAAGTTTGGTTCTATCTTTTATTAAAGGTTAAAGGAATACAGAATAACTGGGCATGGCGAGTTTATATTTACATCCATCTCAAATAATTATCTTCTAATTACAGAAATCAGAAGAGAGGAAGAAGGTGAAATGGGAGAAGAGGATCCATCAGCTGGGGAGATGGAGAGCTCTGAAGATAAACAAACTGAGGAAAGGGAAGCCATAACAGAGGGTTCTACCTCAGCAACTGATACAAACGTTGAGGAAGAAATGAAGGAGGGAGGAGAGGAGGGATGAAATATGTCTGAGGGAGAAAGGAATGAATGATTGGGATGGAAAGAGGTGGATAGGGGTTCATATCAAGTAAAGTGAAATGAAAGAAAAGACAGATTTTTATCTATTAAGATGGGAAGTGCCTCGCCCTTCCTTCCCAGTAGCTAGAGGAAGGACATGTGCTTTGCCATCCAGAGGGAGTGAGCTGGAAGAGCCGTATGCTCTTTGGAAAAGCTGCTTTTGTGGATTTGCTGAAAGAGATATTATATTTGCATATATTTTACATAATTATAATTGTCTTACTGGGCTTACAAAATTGTGTTCTTTTCTATTAAAGATTTATTATAGAGATCAGTAATGAAGAATGACTCAATAAACTTCAGCTGGATAAAATCCGGTGTCTCAAAGTGCTAATATTGGAAATTTTTGGAGTGAACAGGACTCTTCCTTTGCAAAGGTCAACTTAAAATTGCATCTAAATTTATTAAAAAATCATTTTGTCAATGAATAACTGCATTCCTGAATAAAGACTATGTTACCAACTTTCTCTTGCTTAATAGGCCTAGTGTTATTTCATGTTTTAATTCCTTCTTATTTGAGTAACCCCACGACAGGCAGATATGCCATCCTTGTAGAGGTTCAACAGATGAAAATTGAAAAAAAAAAAAGAGTATATCTATTCACCCACTTCTTGGACTGCAGAGTTAGAAAAAAATGTTACTGTTGAGATGAAGCGCAATTCTTTCCGATTGCTACAGGTGAGACAGCATCAAATGTGACAGTACTTTCTCTTGCTTAATAGGCCTAGTGTTATTTCATGTTTTAATTCCTTCTTATTTGAGTAACCCCACGACAGGCAGATATGCCATCCTTGTAGAGGCTCGACAGATGAAAATTGAAAAAAAAAAAAAGAGTATATCTATTCACCCACTTCTTGGACTGCAGAGTTAGAAAAAATGTTACTGTTGAGATGAAGCGCAATTCTTTCCGATTGCTACAGGTGAGATAGCATCAAATGTGACAGTTTATTGAAATGCAACCAGTCACATTTGTGACGTGTTACTGAGCATAAAGTACACAGCCCTCCGTCATTATTTCATGCGCACACACACACACACAGCTGAACCCCTACCCATATGTTTTAATATATAATATTGAAAAATTTAGGAAAATCTACGTAATTTGTATTATTTCGCAGCTATGTCTGAAGAAACGTTTTCTCCAAAAGACCCTTCAAGGTAACGTTTGATACAGGTTTCCTTTGATGTGAGAGAGGCCGTTATAGGAATGGCGTCTTGGAAGTGTCAATCTAACAAAAAGAATTCAGCAAGTCGATTTTTATTTAAAAAACGGGTAAGCTATAAAGCTGACAAATGAAATACTTTAAATTGGGCCTAAAGAAGCAATTGTTACAAGTTATCAAAATACACTTAGCTAAAATGACGTACGTTTCAAGTTGCTTAGTCACTTATAATTATGGAAAAGTAAGGTAAGCGGGGTTTGTTTCTCCATTTGAAATTGGATGCGTAAATCCAGGTTTGCTGCAGCATTTAATTGCATTTTAACCGCAAAGCACTTATATCTCGCCGAAGAACTGCTCACTTAATTATCCTAGTGATAGAAGTGCCACGCGCCATATTTGTGGTAAAGTTATTGATAAAGAAAAAAAGCACTGTGTTTCGCCTTTGCTTGCTTTAGGGTGCATTCAGCTTCATGATGTGTGCATCTGAATTCAGTCTTAGGAATACAAACAGTGGTTTTTGCATAAGAAAGGAAGCGATGTTTAAAAAAGGTGTGTGCTCGGCATTTTTCATATCTATTTTTATACCTTTTTTAGCCTAATTAGAAAAAAAGGAAAACACTCAGTACATTTGATCTTTTCCCTGAAGTAAAGTTTTACAGAGCTTTTAACAGATCAAATTCTTGTGACAGCTGTGACATCATCAGAAGTGTCTCGTGAGATAAAATGACGCAATCTTTACTCCTATTGCTTATGTTAAAAGCCTTTTTCGACAGAGTAATTACTGTCGCGTCAGTAATAACCTTTTAGAACACAAAAGCCTCAGAAAACTATTTCTCCTCGGGTCCCTCTGTACATGCCATGGCACTATGTATGTCCACACTAGAACATAGTGGTGCAAAATACTGTTTTTTTTTCTTGTTTCTTTTACAGTTTAAAATTAAGGAAAACAGTAGTTATTGTAAAATCTATTTCGTTTTAACGTACAAGTGGGATGTTATCATTATTTTTCCTATTTTGACAATTTGACACCCATTACAAAAACTAATGCACACAGATTGCTGTTGCATGTACTTTGAAATTACTCCAAGACAAACCCAAGGTACTTCCCTATACCGCCTTTATAAGACGAAATCTTGTGATATTTTGTACGTATAGTGTATATTGTGAACTTTCACCTTCCAATACTCATGTGCGCGTGTATGGAATTGGCTTCTTGCAACCGTCCTTTATACGGAAAGCCACCCAGTCGCTGTGGTTTCCAGCGTTTTGAGGCTTGGCTTGAAGCCAACATGTTGGTGGATTCCGACGATAGGTTGCCGCTTTACACTTATATATGTTTATACACTCTTGTTCGCATTCCCTCTCCGTGAGGTCTCTCAGTGTCTCAAATGTTGTGTCGTTGGTGTAGTATGCCGAGCCAAGTCTTTCCAGGGACCCGCACGAGCCAGCGACTGAAACATAATAAGTCTAGTTATACGCTTTCTAAGTTGGAAGACGTGCATTGCTCATTACATCTATACCCCCCCCCCCCCCCCACTCCCCACCCCAAAAGATTTGAAGATTTACTTTTGAAAATTAAAACTACCTGGAAATTTAATTAGATAAAATTTCTTTACATCACCGATGCTTATGAATTTTCTTTCCAAAACTAGCTTCGGGCTGATACAAGCAAAGAGGTGACCGCAGCCATTGCCAGTAATTGTAAAAGGGGAAATGTGGTAAAATTGACAAAGAGGTCAGAAAAATATTATAGACAAACCAATTAGAAAACCAGTTAATTCGATGATTAATGATTATTTTTTTCAGTCATTAGTATGTGCATTGATCTTCTTTTTAGAGCAAATAGATCCCTACCCAAATTATAACACTGCTTTGAAAAGTTTTTTTTTTTTTTTTTTTAGGGGGGGGGGAAGGGTTGTTGATCAACAGATATTTACTTCAGAACTCATCTCCAATAAAACTATTTTATATCAGTCTAATAATTACCAGGTCTTAAACTTATAAGTGAAGACAAAAAAAATGAATTTCAATGATTTTAGTAGCCACTGAAAGGCCATTTTTAAAAATGGCTTTCACAATGACTAGCGAACCATTTTCGTGAACCATTAGGCCTATTACTACAGTCTTCAATTCTCCATACCACTGAATAATCATACCAATATGACGAATCAATATTTATTGTAAATAAAATGACACTTCAATGGTAAAACGGTTGTTTTCAAGCCAGTTCTTTTTGTTAAATTAGTAACACTAATACCGTACTCACCAATAGTTCTGTAAAGCCAGTCAGATATTTTCCTGACGTCCGTGTAGACGCCGGGATAGGAGATGTACTCGCATCCTCTGCCGAAACTGACGATGCCCAGTTGTTTCCACTCTGTCTTGCGGTCANTCCCACGGCAACACACCGAGGCATAACGAAAATTCCTCAACTCCGTTCAACACAACTTTCCTTATAATTTTTAAATGGCGGGGATCGATTAAAACATACCTCTAGTGTACAGATTGAGTGCTGAATCTTCAGAATTCGAGAAATAGATTTTTATGAGTCTATTCTCCTTTAAATGACGCACGTTTCAAGTTGCTTAGTCACTTATAATTATGGAAAAGTAAGGTAAGCGGGGTTTGTTTCTCTATTTGAAATTGGATGCGTAAATCCAGGTTTGCTGCAGCATTTAATTGTATTTTAACCGCAAAGCACTTATATCTCGCCGAAGAACTGCTCACTTAATTATCCTAGTGATAGAAGTGCCACGCGCCATATTTGTGGTAAAGTTATTGATTTAAAAAAAAAACACTGTGTTTGGCCATTGCTTGCTTTAGGGTGCATTCAGCTTCATGATGTGTGCATCTGAATTCAGTCTTAGGAATACAAACAGTGGTTTTTGCATAAGAAAGGAAGCGATGTTTAAAAAAATGTGTGTTCGGCGTTTTTCATATCTATTTTTATACCTTTTTTAGCCTAATTAGAAAAAAAGGAAAACACTTAGTACATTTGATCTTTTCCCTGAAGTAAGGTTTTACAGAGCTTTTAACAGATCAAATTCTTGTGACAGCTGTGACATCATCAGAAGTGTCTCGTGAGATAAAATGACGCAATCTTTACTCCTGTTGCTTATGTTAAAAGCCTTTTTCGACAGAGTAATTACTGTCGCGTCAGTAATAACCTTTTAGAACACAAAAGCCTCAAAAACTATTTCTCCTCGGGTCCCTCTGTACATGCCATGGCAGAACATGGTGGTGCAAAATACTGTTTTTTTTTTCTTGTTTCTTTTACAGTTTAAAATTAAGGAAAACAGTAGTTATTGTAAATCTGTTTAGTTTTAACGTACAAGTGGGATGTTATCATTATTTTTCCTATTTTGACAATTTGACACCCATTACAAAAACTAATGCACACAGATTGCTGTTGCATGTACTTTGAAATTACTCCAAGACAAACCCAAGGTACTTCCCTATACCGCCTTTATAAGACGAAATCTTGTGATATTTTGTACGTATAGTGTATATTGTGAACTTTCACCTTCCAATACTCATGTGTGCGTGTATGGAATCGGTTTCTTGCAACCGTCCTTTATACGGAAAGCCACCCAGTCGCTGTGGTTTCCAGCGTTTTGAGGCTTGGCTTGAAGCCAACATGTTGGTGGATTCCGACGATAGGTTGCCGCTTTACACTTATATATGTTAATACACTTTTGTTCGCATTCCCTCTCCGTGAGGCCGCTCAGTGTCTCAAATGTTGTGTCGTTGGTGTAGTATGCCGAGCCAAGTCTTTCCAGGGACCCACACGAGCCAGCGACTGAAACATAATAAGTCTAGTTATACGCTTTCTAAGTTGGAAGACGTGCATTGCGCATTACATCTATACCCCCCCCCCCACTCCCCACCCCAAAAGATTTGAAGATTTACTTCTGAAAATTAAAACTACCTGGAAATTTAATTAGTTAAAATTTCTTTACATCACCGATGCTTATGAATTTTCTTTCCAAAACTAGCTTCGGGCTGATACAAGCAAAGAGGTGACCGCAGCCAATGCCAGTAATTGTAAAAGGGGAAATGTGGTAAAATTGACAAAAAGGTCAGAAAAATATTATTGACAAACCAATTAGAAAACCAGTTCATTCGATGATTATTTTTTTCAGCCATTAGTATCTGCATTGATCTGCTATCTAGAGCAAATAGATCCCTATCCAAAATATAACACTGCTTTGAAAAGTTTTTTTTTTTTTTTTTTTTTGGGGGGGAGGGGGTGTTGATCAACAGATATTTACTTCAGAACTCATCTCCAATAAAACTATTTTATATCAGTCTAATAATTACCAGGTCTAAAACTTATAAGTGAAGACAAAAAAAATTAATTTCAATGATTTTAGTAGCCACTGAAAGGCCATTTTTAAAAATGGCTTTCACATGACTGGCGAACCATTTTTGTGAACCATTAGGCCTATTACTACAGTCTTCAGTTCTCTATACCACTGAATAATCATACAAATATGGCGAATCAATATTTATTGTAAATAAAATGACACTTCAATGGTAAAACGGTTGTTTTCAAGCCAGTTCTTTTTGTTAAATCAGTAATACTAATACCGTAGCCTACTCACCAATAGTTCTGTAAAGCCAGTCGGATATTTTCCTGACGTCCGTGTAGACGCCGGGATAGGAGATGTACTCGCATCCTCTGCCGAAACTGACGATGCCCAGTTGTTTCCACTCTGTCTTGCGGTCGGTTGGGAACTCACACAGAAGGGGTCCTCCTGGATCTCCCTGCAAATGCATATTGGGCACAGTTAGTCATGCACATGGTCTCAAGTGCGTTTAGATTAATATCATGAGAATGATTTCTTATACATATTTTAAAGTTTGAATCTTTAAAGTTTGATTTTTTTTATGCGTTGATATACACGTATGTAGTATATTCAAAACAGTTTTACTTAAGCCTAGGTCCCAACCACGTTTTGGACGCACGGTTTTTTAGGTTCCTTGCGTCCGGCTAGGACGTAGCTAGATAGCAGGGAAGGAATCAAGTAATTGGTGATTGCAAAGAGTTGATCATGTCGTTAAGTTTCTACCTGCTGTTTGCGTCCTCCAAAAGTCGCACGATGGACGTGCTCCTTACGCACGAACTCCCACGTTTTCCCCACTTTTTTTGGCCGTAGACCACACGTAGTAGCCCGTTGGGACCTAGGCTTTACACAGGTGCGCAAAAACAAAACACATGTTTACGCGCACACACACACGCGCACGCGCGAAACAATGTTAAATTTCATATTCATCTCTAATTTCAATATTATTTGAGTTTTCCCCACCGCACAGCCGTCTCCCCCGTACTCCTCAGCGCACAGCATGTCGTCCGTGATCACATCTCGTGGATAGCGAGAATTGGTGCGACAGGATTCAGCAGACATATACCGAACAGGCGCTTCGGTCAGTACATCACTGGGTACAGGGTTTCCTTGAAAATAATATTGTTCCAGGAATATTAGTTATCTACATGTAGTGTACTGAGGAAGGCCTAAATAACTGATCAAATGTCGAAAAATGCAGCCATTTCATATCTTGATGTTTTTCCATTTGGGATTAATGTGAAAAAATAAACACCATAAACACTACCTATTAGTTACCTAAAAGGATCTACAAGAAAGATTCAAATTTTCCAATTTCAAGGCGCAAGACGTTTTTTTATTATTATTAACTTACTTACTTACTTATTTACTCACATATGTATTAATTTGTTCGTTTCTTTATTATTCATTTATTTCATTGTTTGAAATAACCTTTTTTCACGTCAACTTACCAAACCCCAAAGTCCCCCATCCGATTACCGTGCATAGCGCTCCTTCGAAATCAAATCTGTGATCGACAGGGCATGTTGGTCCGATTTCATCGTTAAAAGGGACAGGTTCAGAGAGTTTTAGCAAAGCTGCGTCGTTGTCAAGAGTGTCTGGTTTATAGCTGTTGATAATGTGAACCTCACTAACATTCCTTTCGATGACAGCTGTGGTTGTGGCGCGTCTTGCCCGATTGTGAACACCTAGTGACACCTTAATAATCTCCGCTTGCCATTGCAATTGAATGGGAGAGTCCCAACTGGAGTTCAATTGAAAATCAGCAATAAGGCAAATAAAGTATACTACTTTCTCTCTCTCGCGCACGCACACACAAACACGCGCGCGCGCGAGCATTTGCTCATAAAGCACATCGTTCAATATCTATAGGATATTTCTCGCTTTGTATCTTGCTGTTAGGCCTAAATGTACATGATGCTACTGTATAGATGTTTATGCTTTCGATTCTATTTACATTATACAGACAATTCATTTCCGACCAACTAACAAAACCAAAGAGTTGTATTTTTTAAAAATATAGCTCTGTGTTGTAAGATTTTTCTAAAATTCTGTGTAACATGCATATGAATGAGCCCCACGCATGGATAGTAGGACTAACTCAGTGCGTACTTACGGTGTATGCAAGCAGTGAGCGGCTGTCAGCACCCATCTTTTATCAAGGAGGCTCCCTCCACAGTTGTATTTATATCGATTGCCTTCTCCTGTTTCTCGTCCAATTTCTATATAAGCCATCCACGGCCAAGAGTGGGGATAAGCTTCCTGGCGCCTGACACTTCGCGGAACGTGGGGTCGAGTTCCGCATCTGAAGCAGGCTAAAAGTCAGAGAAAATATTTTTTTAAAACGAGCATTTTGAGAGGGCTGCGCCTAAGAAATAGGAGTAAAAGATATGAAATGTTTGATACTGTTGGCATAAAAGTAACTTTTCCTTCTTCTTTTTCGATGAGAATATTGTATATATTTAGATCGATTCTTGTAAAATATGTGGAGTAAGGAAGACCGCAGCACGGAGATTTGGGTGTTACTCGCGGACTGACAAAAAGAAAAAAACTTTTTGTTTTGTTTTGTTTTGCTTTGATTTAATTTTAAGCACCTGAGTTGCTTTGTTATACTGAGTTATCAAGTTTGTGCCTCAAACTGCTACCATGCAGTCACCTTGTTCTCCCTATTGACCACTTAACGCTATATTTTAAGCGTAAAAAATAAAATAGGCGACTTTGGCAAGCAGCATATTTCCTCTAAAGCACTGGATAGCTCATTAAAACGTCTGAGAGAAAATAGATGCGAAAGGAATATATAATATATAGGCTTGTGTTTCATGAGGGCGGGCGGGCGGGCGGGGGGGATGAACAGGCACAGTATATTACATGTACAGGAGTCTATCGTTTTAGCATTGTAAGTGCATTGTTCATTCATATTTTTTAAAAAATACATAACACATTTCGCCGTATCAGGAGAGAGGCCCGTCAAAATGAGGACATTGGCGAATGAGACAGTTTTGATGACATTAGGCCTACAAATTAAGCTCAAGTCACACATAACAATATAAAAACATGGTTTGGAAGTATAATGGCATACGTTTGTTGCCTCAAGGAAATAGACTTAATACGAAATGACATATGTGATCTAGCAAAGAAATGGATATCTACCTTCTTAGTTCTAGTCAGTGATGAAGTCACAGTTAACTGAAGTGACAAGACTACAACGCATGCATGCACAGTTTCGGATATAGGGAGGTCAACAGGAAAATCGCGTAGGATATTACTTAAATCTGGTAATACTACGGTGTCAGTCATAAGTCAACTGCGTATAGCATGTTTGTTCGTCCAGAAAATTTATGCATGAACTGGAGAGCGATTTTAAAAAACCTTTGTCTCTTAACTGGGCGGCAATAACTTTCGATTCACGAGTTTCAGCAATCATAATTAAGGTCGTGGCACAGGAGACCAAACGAACGCCTGCATGAGCTAAATACCCAGGTACACATTTGCATCCTGGTTTGTAGGGTTTCATAGTACAAAACTGTTCTGTTGATAGTGGAAAAGAAAACAGTTAAAAAATAATTCAAAAGGAAGAACAGTTCATTGTAGATTTTGCGTGAGAACCAAGTTTCATTAGCGCACGACTGAAAACGGTAGAAAGAGTTGATTTGGTAGTGTTCCAGAAAAACCTCGTCAGAGGAGAGGAAATAACCTACCTCTCACTACCGCACAGAAGTACAGCATTCCTAAAACTGCTCTTAAATCCATCATTGTTTTTGACTACCAGTAGGCACGTCTGTCCTGAAACTATGCTTGCGCCATACTTAAACATAGGTCACTGCAACCATATGGGAACACTGAAAGCCAGTTGGGCCTGTATTCTATTTTTAGAAAGACAATTTCAACAAACGAGGAAGTCCTGCAACACGATAAATAACCTTTTCTCGCACGAGAACCTCCGAATACGAGGCAGGAAACCTGTTATGAACGCGCTGCCTTCGATTTTGCCGATTGCTGTTGGTGAAAGCCAGCTTGCTCGATCCTGATTTCACCATGAAAGTCAATCACCCAACTTACATGAAAACTTTCTTGTCATGATGAAAAGATCATGAAATCCTTAAAAGATAATAACGAAACATTGTACGTCTCAGACAAACTTTTTTCTAAATGGTTTTAATGTCTCTGGAGTTTTGAATTGGGGAAACTTCAGAAGCTTTACAAGACATGAATATAACTGTGTGGGATTTTCAAAGAGAATCTCCAGATATTAATTTTGACGAGAGAATCACATTGAATGCCCCTTTAAAGGAAGTAACAAAAGTGCCATTTAAATCCTTAAATCCGCTGTAAGGAAGATTTCGAAACAATGATTTCCTCTTGCTAACCGTTGAAATGTATTTTGATTCAAACAAATCGTATCCTATCTGGCTTAAATCCATTTTCAAAGGGTTTAAATTGACAGATATCTGGAATAGGCCCATACTGTTTAAGCAATCACTGTAAGGTATATCTGACCTTTAGTGGAAAGGAGTTACTAAGAGCATGTTACCATGGCTACTTCGATTAGATTAATTGTTATTATATTGGGGACTTACTATCTGGCCAATGTTTTTCAAATAAGCCTAATGTGCGGAAAACGTTGGTTGCCGACAATATACATTACAATTACTTCCCAAGTAAAAAGACATTCAGTTTAATTAGCCTAAAATGTCGTCCACTGTTTTCTGGTCAGAAAAACAGACTTATCTTCAAGGCACATTTATTACACGTTGTTTCTGAATATACATTACTTATCTGAATAAAATGGCATTATATAAACTAGCTATATTGTGCTTGTACATACCCGTAGACGGATTAAATTTTGATGTACTAGTAAAGCTTGTTTCGCACTATACGATGTTATGTACCTGTGTTTTTACAAGGTGCTTCAGTATTTTTATATTGACTTTTGGATTGAATTTTCTGTCTGAATTTCTTTTAGGTAGTGGTTAGAGTATCACAGATTTAAGTCAACAGGAATGCACAGCTTTGGTATTAATGCATCGAATCTGAAAAGATTCAGCGTGTACATTAAAATGTGTTGGCAAAGCACTTAAGGTGTTTTTTACGACTGGATTTCCCAGTTCGCTGCCTCAGATAAAAATTTTTTGAGCTTGGCCGATTATTCATTATTGAATGTTTTAAGAGAGAGAGAAAGAGAGAAGGAGAGAGAGATCTTAACGAAAGAGCTAAACAAAGTTTTTACTGTAGTATAATGTGTTATTACTTGAAAGCGACATTTTCTGTAAGCAATGACCATAGACAACATGACTGTGCAGTATGTTTTCTGCTAACCACCAGTTGTTACTGTGTCAAAATACTCTAGTTTTGAAAACTAATATTCACGTAGAAAGCAACTCTAGCAATCTCTTATCAATTTCCATTCGCGTGAGATGTTGGCGCCGCCGCGCCTGGCTGTTGACTTTGTCAGAGACCTCGGAATGCTAAGGTCCATTGTGAAGACAAATCGATCCAAATTCGGCGTAGCTTAATACATGTGGCTATTTGAAAACGCATTTTGGATACTTCCACATAGTATTATGTATACCTTAGATGCCCTCGAAAGCTGTGCGATAGAAGCATCTATTTCAAAGTGTAATTTACGATAACCTACTGGTATTGTTGCCGATTAGGCTGTAATTAGACAGGTTATTGTTCATTAAACAGAAACGATTCGAGTTTCATATAACAACAACCGTCAAACAGAGCGACAAAAAACAGAGACAATTAGGAAGCCCACTTCCTTGCATTAGCATGGCACTTACCGTCCAATTTAGAAATCATCTAAGATTATGTTTTCCTATCTGTAAATCTTCAAATTCTTATCTGATAAAGAAGTCCTATCTTTAACGGATAATTGTGAGTTAAGTCGTCATATTTTTATACATGCATGAAACTACGAAGGATTGAGTTGACAGACTCAATCAAATGATTTTACGGCACCTAGGGTTTTGCATGATACTCTTGATCACTTTTCGTGCATTGTTTTCTTCACAAATGTATTTGATTGCCTTGTGATTTTCTTGAAAATATCATCCCACAGTAGGTCGGCGTTAAATACCCAATACCAGAGTCCCAGAAAGTTATGTCCACTTTTCTCTGGCGTGACAGTTCAGAAAAGTACCATCATTTATTTTGGGACATATCTGTGAATATCTGGTGAAAAATCAATCTGAGGCCCTGGTAGAGGGTAGAGCCTAGGGGTCTTCTACGACGTGTTTATGTATGTATTTATTGCATATTTGGAAAGTGCAGTGCAATGTTCTGTTTTTTTTTTTTTTTTTTTTTTTATAAAAGTAGATCATCTATAATTCAAAATTATTTACAATAGCTAATGAAGTAGCTTTGCTTTTTGGGGGTTATAATACACATTTTAGCATTACGTTTTTTGTCTGACATCTTGAAATTGGATTTGGATTTGTTGAAGGTTTTATTCACTTTTAAGTGTTTAAAGGGATAATAACTCTTCGTATGAGATCTATATTTCACAATAAAAACATTGTCAATAAATCATAGAAATGTAATATATTCTGTTTTACCACAAAAACGGCAGTTATAGCTATTTTTTCTGATATCTGAGCTTGTCTTTAGACCACGTGACCTCCATTGATGGCTATACTCTGTTAAAATCTCTTAAGAGATTTTTACAAAAAACCAAACTTTTTAGAAAAAAACCAGGGACTAACTTCGAATGTAAAAATGGATTCATTTACCATTGGTAAGTATGGGAAAATTGTTGTTTACTCCAGGAAAATTCATTTTTTGGCCGAAACGAAGAGTTATTATACCTTTAAGTAAGATATTATAAATACTTAAACACCACTAATGTGTCAGTTAATTACATATGTTTTTTGCAAAAAAAAAAGGTTGTAACTCCCAAGGTATATTTCTGGCATCCTTTCTGAAGAATGATGTACATTTGTTTCCACCTAGAAAATATTTTATTTATAATGTCGTATTTTACATCTTTGCCGATTATTTGCTTGTATCTAAGAGTGCACGATCCTAAATTACCCTTTATCTAATGGACTCAACACATATATAGTGTCACAGCAAAAAAAAATCGAAAAATATCTCGGCTGATCAAATTTACACGCTGCCCCTTGGGTCACAATAATGCGATTGCAGTGTCAAAATATTTACCACAGTACTTGCAGAAAATCTATTTCTCAAAAAAAAAAAAAAAAACTCGGAACAGAGAGAAAATGCTTCATGGAAGTGGTCATCAGAGATAAATAGAATATTATATTAGAAGATATAGCTTATTGTCCTGTTATTTTCCATAGATCCAAAAGAAACATGTATGAGCGCTGCAAATGACCTTGTATTCATTTCTCGGGGCACTTGTTTATTGGGTTTATTCTTAATGGAAGACGAAACTAGAGTTTTACCTTTTTAAAATTTATTTATGGTTTTAGAAATCTCTCCAAAGCACTTGCCCATTATTAACAGTTACATGTATGAGATTTTCTCCCCCCCCCCCCCCTGACATTTACGGAGAGCACTGACTAAGTGCTCAGTCAGTGATCACGCTTCCTACGCACCGTCCCCCAGAGTGATAAATCTGCTTTCACATTGAGAAAGCTGTGCGTTGATAAAATGGTTTAATTCTCAAGTCACTAGTGTCAAGTCAAAAGAAAGGATCATGTTTTCGTTTCTACCCTCAGCGGATCACTCGCCTGGATAATGTCAATACCGTTATGTACTTTTGCGAGATCAAATTAAGTTTCTTTGAAATAAAGCGTTTCCAAAGTGGAGGACCTCAATGTGTAGTAGTTTCAAATGAAATTAATTCCTGGGGTGCAGTGGATAGTTTCTTGCACTCTATTCAAATAGCGTGTTAAAATCGATTTTCTATCAATACACTTCAATGTACATGTACTTCACAACCCGAAATGTTTATGAAGATACGGGAGGCAAATTGGTAGCGAAAATCATTTTAATAATCCTGATTTAGAATGCGATGACACTAGTGTCAATATCACAGTTCTTTTTCATGCAAAACACTGTACTGGAACCCTTCCTCAAATGCATTGTTTAATTTAAGTTAGCGCAACCAAAATTGGCTCTTGCCGTAAAGAGATTGCATTTGTGATAACGCATTTTCGTGATTTCTTTTGCCCTTTCTGTCCCTATGCCTACTTGACTGACCCTCTGCCTGCCTGCCTCTCTCTCTCTCTATCTCTCTCTCCCTGATTTTCTGCCTGCTTGTCTATCACTTTGCCCGGTATGCTTGTTTCTCTCCCCGCCTGCCCCTTCCTCTCTTTCTACCTGCCTGTTTGCCGTCTCGCTGTTCGCCTTCCTGTGTCTAGATCTCTCTCTCTCTCTCTCTCTCTCTCTCTTCCTGCCTGTCTCTCTGTCTGCCTGTCCCTGTGTGTGTGTGTGTGTGTGTGTGTGTGTGTGCGTGTGTCGGTCATTTTCCACGTGGTGATACGACTCTCTGGGGACTCTTGCGGAGTATCTGTAGCGTAATTGTTAGATAATGGAATTTTGTGAGCATCTACGGCTGTAGCGTAATTGTTAGATTATGGAATTTTGTGAGCATCTACGGCACCGTAGGTCTCTGATTTGCGTGGACTCGAAATCCCTAGAGGCATGCTCAAGGGGATGAATGACAAACCAGGAAATAAACAACCCGCATTTCAGATCTTAACATTTTTTTAATTCGCAGCTTTTTTAAGAGGCAGTCTGGTCTATACTAGTACCTAAAACTCAGCATTCTTCTTCTGTGTCTGTTTTATAGTTTTGCACCAACATCATATCGATTCTAGGCAAATATGGCGGAAATCCATTTAGTATCAAATGTATCAAATGGTTCTCGTTATATGTGACTCGTTTGTAAGTCATGATCAGGATAATAAAAGGATATTGCTTTCTTAACTGTC